CAGCCACTGCACCTTCCAGTGCCAGCTCCCGCAACAGCATCAAAAGCAGCAGCCACGTCAGCAGCAACCGCTTCAGCAGCAACCCCGCACTGACTCTGCAGCATCACCGGTGTCATGGCAGGGGAGCAACGGGAGCCGTTCCAGGAGGACATGACCTGCAGTAGGGACCACGTCGTGTGGACTTGGGTCACTCCTAGGGAGATGCTGCCGGACAATGCTCGTGGGTCGAGAAGGCTGCGGTACAAACTCTGCAACAAGGAGTACTCCGGTAATAGGAAGCGTGCGTGGGAGCACTTCATTTTGGTGAGGGCGTCTGCCAGGTGTCCACATTCGAACCTGTCGATTTGGAGGAGGCTGCATGGCATCGGTGTACAACTGCCACCGGACATGCATGAGAGGGTGCAGCGCGTGTTGGAGATGAAGAAGAGTGACGAGGGGGACACTCCTGTTCTGGGTGGAGGAGAAGGGGGCGAAGGCGGGATCGCTGAGGATCCCGGGGAGGCACCGGGTGGGGACACCATGGAGGTTGACATCGGCGAGGATGAGGGGACGAGGGGGGTTGTGACAGGCGGCCTTGCTACTGCAGGGAGGGCCAGTTCCTCGCAGGCTGTGGTGCAGGGGGCGCGCACACGTGGCCCGACGAGGCAGACAAGCATCAGGAGGTTTGCGAAGAACCCGAGGCAGGAGGACATGGATGACTCCTGCTGCGAGTTCTTCGTGGAGAACGCCATACCGTTCAACGCTGCCAGAAGCAAGAGCTTCAAGAAGTTCATGCTGACGTGTATCGGACCACAACCTGTGGGGAGTCATCCACTCGTGCCTACTGGGTACAACCCCCTCAGGTGTTGCCTGCTCGATCGTTTGAACAAGAGGTTGGTGGATGAGGAGCAAGCGATCCGTGACGACTGGCAGGTGACTGGCTGTACGTTCATAACTGATGGCACCACAAACATCTGTGGGCGATCACTTATGAACTACATCCTCGCAGACTGATCGAAGCCTGTTTTCGTGAAGTGCGAGGATGTGAGCGAGGGAGACAAGGACTCTGCAGCTGTCGTTGCCGGGTGGAAGCGGTTCTTCAGAGAGTGGGGGGTGGAGAAGATCACGACGATATACACTGACTCTTTCGCCGGGAACACGAGTGCTGCGAGGATGTTGAGGGAGGACCCTGAGTTCACACAGATCTATTGGATCCCTTGCACGACGCATTGCATGGACCTCCTGATGCACGATATAGGCAAGGAGTGGGCGGATGAGATCATCACCAAGGCCAACAAAATAGTGAACTTCTTCCGGGTTCACAGGTGGCCTCGGTCGCAGTTGAGGACGTAATTGTTGAAGTACCCTGACTTGAAATGCACCTGCCTCCTTCGGCCTGCTCAGACAAGGTTCGGGACAAACTATGTGATGCTGCAGCGACTTGAGGTGTGCGAGAGGGCCATCGTGCGTATCGTCACCGGACACGGTTGGGAGACCATGCTGTGGCGAGGGGATATTAGGGCGAAGGCCTACTTCGTGGAAAAGACAGTTCTTGACAAAGCATTCTGGGCTGATGTCAAGAAGCTGACTGCCGTCATGAAGGGGCCTTATAATGTGTTGCGAGAGGTGGACAAAGATGTCCACTGCTTGTCACGCATCTATGATATGGCGTGTCGGCTGCCTGGCTTCGTTTGCTCGGCCCCCCTATCCGCGGACCAGCGAGACGACCTTCTCAAGGATGTCGGCAACAAGACGGACATGCTGCTCAGCCCCATCCACGCCGTTGCACGTCTGTTGGATCCTATGTTGAGGGACATTACTGTTTTCAGTAATGTCGACCTCATGGCACAGTTCGAGAGCGTTGTGGAGCGGCTGATCGAGAAGAGTGGAAGCTCGAGATTTGACGACTGCATGGACCAGTTGTACGAGTTCCAGTTTGGGAGAGGAGTCTTCGGCACCCCGCAGGCAAAGAAACGGGCTGAGAAGGACAATGCGGTGCTATGGTGGGAGGCGCATGGTGCAGGGCATCCAAAGATCCGAGAGCTGGCGCTGAAGGTGCTCTCCATCTGGACGACTTCCTCTCCGGCTGAGAGGAACTAGAGCACTTGGGCTCTCGTGCAGACGAAGTCGAGGAACAAGTTGCACCACCAGCGCACCGAGAAATTGGTGGCCTCACACTAGAGCTTGAGGCTCAAGAGTAGGGGGCAGGATGGGGCCACTGTTGCAGGAGGGTGGTTGGGGCTCACAGCCGACTGGGAGGACGAGGACTTGGAGGGTGACATGGCAAATGTCACAGAGGCAGTTGATGACATTGAGGCAGCTGGTGAGGGCACAGCTTCTGCGGTGGGCAGCACAAACATTCGCCCCGATCCCACAGCGCCGTCCACTTCGAGATCGACGCAGAGGTTAGTGCAGGTGGAGGAGGAGGATGAGGATGAGACTGATGAGGACGATGACGACGATGTCCCTGACGAGGAGTGGGTGGACGAGAGATCGGACTCAGACAGATCATGGACGAGGAGAGAGGGCATGTTCCCCTATGTTGAAGGCACACGATCTGGATTGAGGTCCCAGACGCGGGCGCGACCAGAGGCGCAGCAGGGGGAGCAGCAGCAGCAGGAGCAGCAGCAACAGGAGCAGGTTGAGCAGCAGCAAGAGCGGGTTGAGCAGCAGCAGCAGCAGCAGCAGGAGCAGCAACAGGAGCAGGAGCAGGAGAAGCAGCGTGGGCAAGGGGATGAGGAGCAGCACCAGCAGCGAGGGGATGAGGAGCAGCAGCAGCATGAGACGGATGAGGAGCAGCCGCAGCAGAGGGAGAAGGAGCAACAGCAACAGAGGGTGGATCTCGCAGTCCAGCAGGAGACCGCAGTGCAGTCGTCCAGAGATGTGCACGAGGAGGGTGAGGCAGAGGGCGAGCAGAGTCGCCGCGAGGTGCGAGGATTTTACGGTTCTTCTCAGCGGTCGCCTCTCGTTGGGCGGCATGGAGCACATCCTGGTCGTGTGTGGGATCCCCTCGCTTATTGCGCTCCGCAATGACAAGGGAAGGCGGCTGCTGGACGTGGGAGAGGGCGGACTCATGTGGTTGCTCAAGGCACCGATGGGGTTGCACGAGGCTCGGGGCATCCGAGAGGGCGGACACGAAAAGAGAAACCACTGGAAGCGGCAACAGCAGCAGGAGCAGCAGCAGCACCAGCAGCACCAGCAGCAGCAGGAGCACCAGCAGCAGAGGAGTCAGATGATGACTCCCATGAGAGCGCACCGTTGCAAAGGAAGAAGAGGAGGATGGAGCCTGCTGCAGAGAGAGAGAGAGAGAGAGAGAGAGAGAGAGAGAGA